GGCATATATTAATGTTTGTAGTTCACGTGTGTGAAGTGATTTTGAAAATTATGCTTACTTGGCACATTTTTTAAAGGTGATATGTAATTTTTTAAGGGTTAATTTAATTTTTGATCCCTTATCTAGATAACTTAGTCCATTTTTATACCCGTCAAGATAACAAAAAGATTAAAAAAAGTGTCCGACTTTGAAAACCATTTAAAGTGTCCGGCATGACAAGTTTCCATCCGAACTGCTGAAACTAATTGAAAAAGTCCCAAATTGATTCGATAATTAATTGCAACCCCGGCCCAATTCGTTGAAATCGACTGAAATTTGACATTATATAATATGTCTTAACTTTTAAAATCTTTTAAAATTAAAGATTTAAGAGTTGAGATTATTTTAATTTATTAAAATTATAATTAAATTAATAGAATATATAAGTAATAATAATTAAATGTGTAATTATACCAAATATTTTATTTGTCACATCAATTTTTCTGTTAAATATTAACGACAAGTGGATTAATTGAATGTATTTAAATAGTTGAGTAACGAGGTTGACAAAATTTCAAAAATATTGATCAAAATGAAAAAAAAATAGTTAGGTGGTCACTGATTTTACACATTATTTCAAATAATTTATATTTTAATTTTTAACTAATTTATAATTATATGTTGAGTCTTTTAGAATTTAATTTTTTTAAATTAAATTAATGATACTCGTTGTTAGTTGTGCTCATCGCTACTATTCGAGCGCTATAGAATTTTCTTATTAATAATATCTAAATTTTAAATATACAAAGAGTAGAAGAACATATTTTAAGATTTTTCAATACATACACAAATATTAAATAAAGTAGCAGTAGTCTATGTCTGGATAATAAAATGGGTCCCGCCCACTAATATTTTATATAATTAGAGAAAAGTAAGGAAGATTAATCTATGAACACTGAATTAATTAATCCAATTACAGTAAGATTAATGGAAGTTTTGTATATTGTTTGCTGACGGCTAGGGTTTAAACATACGGTCAGGAAGATTGACACGTGATCGAGGTGACATAGCACATCGGAGTACACGTGGCATAGCTTTGGGATTTCTGATTTCACGATAGCGTAGAAATGGAAGGTATCACAAGGAGACAAAAGGTAGAGAAAGGGATCCACCATAGTGGGTCCTACATTCTGACGTGGCCACGATATCTCCCAAAAAATGAGTTTCTTTTTTATTTTTTTATTGCTCCATAAAATGACATCCTCGTGCATTGAACCCCTTTTGTTCACCACTCGAAACTCGCAAGTGGACGACAATGCACAATTTTTATTGAATATCTGTAATTAAACGTCTTATTATGCCCTTAGTCTCTTTCATCCTAAAAATCCCCAAATTTAATCTATATTTGTAGGGATGACTAAATTTTGATTAAAAATTAAATTTTTAACTTTACTCAATATAATTCAACTCATAATTTTATAAATTAGACTCAATTTTTAATATTATAAAATCAACTTTATAATTTTGTTAATAAAACTCTAGTTTTAAAATGATTCAAGTAACTCAATCGTTTAATTAGAGCCATTTTTTTATATTTTTTCAAGTATGAAAAATATGAAGAAATGTATATTCATATTATATATGGTTATATAAATCAATTTAAATTAGAATTAATGAGTACTATAATATCATAAATATTTATAATTAAATTTAAGTAGAAACTCGAACAACTCGATTCAAATTTCATAAATTCGACTAGACTTAAAAAATCATATAAAGTTTGAGTTATAAGATAAGACTCCTCAACTCTACTAACTCAAAATTTTTGTATTCGACTCAACTCAATTAAATACTCATCCCTATTCAATTGTATGCATGATTAAAAATAAATAAATTCTATTTGATAAAACTATCTATTACCTTATGTTATATTCGAATATGTATTTTTAATTATGTTTTTAATTTAAAATAAAAAATTTAAATATTAACACATGAGATATTTAAATTTAAATATACATTAGACTTTAATTCTTATATAAGACATGTAAAATGATTATATTATAAAAGGGAGGATTATATTTTAAGATTATAAAAACTATAGGGAGTAGAGAAGGGTTAATCCTTAATGAAATTGATTGGAAAAGCCAAAATGATTTCTCCAACTGCCATGTCATTAGTTGTGTGCAAAAACATCCGTGTCTTATTATCTTATAATTTTACCTTTTCTTATATGCAGATATTTTATTTATCAAATTGTGAGTATGAGAAAAGCGGCCAATAACAAGATCCGAGGCAACTACTAAGCGGGAAACATAGGCCGCGTGTCGTCTTTACAATCCGACACATAACGAAAAGAACGTTGCCACCTCAGATTGCTTTTTTAGCGTACAATTATTTCTCTCTTTTTACAGGTTTGTTTGATATGTGAATCCCACCACCCGTAGCGCGTGACATAAATGCGTGGGGCACTTTTATTTCCTCGCGCGGTGAAATTTGACCGAACGGGTAGGTTCCCGATTTTTTAATTAAAAAAATATGGCTCAACTTTATATTTACTGCTTAATTTATTACTTTGATTTTTAATTTTTTAATCATATTTAACATTTAATTTAGTTTTTAATTTATTGTTTATTATTAAAAAAATTAACATAATTATTGATATATATATATTTTTATTTTTTTAATGATGATGTGCTATTAACTTATCATGACACATTAATATTGTCGTGAAATTTTTAATGATGAAGAGTTAAAATAAAATCTAAACTAAATGTTAGACATAGTTTAAAAAAATAAAGTTTAGATATCAAAATAGAATAAAACTAATAATTTAGGTACTAAAAGTATAGTTTACCTAAAAAATATTTGAGGGAGGGGGTCATTTCACACGTCACCACAAGCGGCCACATTTAGCGAGCGAAGGCGAGGAAAATAATTTTTGGTAGGCAGCTGATTACGGGGCCTACATTCTCGGAAGTTCAGTGATCGTGACCCCATCCATCGGACGGTTCAGATCCGTTCCTTGATCCACGACCACGAGTCTCCTGCTCTATTCAGCCCCGTTCTGTTTTTTCATCCGAAATCTAAATTATTAAATTGTTAGAATCAAATGCACCCAAATTATTAACAATTATATTTCCATTTTTTTTTTATTTTTTCCTAATTAAGTTGATGCAGAATGAACTCATAACATTAATAAACTCAATCAAAAACTTTATAGAAGTATTCTAAAAGGATATTTTAATGTTTTCTTAGTGATATCTTGTTAACTCGTGATATTAATTTAATCAAATTCAATATATAAGCATATATAGATGATTTTAATATTTTTAAAAATATTTTTAATTTAATTAATTAACAATAAATAGTAAACAAGTTTGAGAATTTTTAAGGTTTTCTATTTAAAATCATCATTAAAATAATTATGTTTCAAAGTGACACCTTTATTTTTTTAATTCTCAAAATTGTACCTTTTTGTTGATAGATGTGTCATGTTAGATAAAAAAATGTGTCACGAAAGTCTGTCCTAAAAGATGTGAAGTATTTTTTGTTACTTTTTAAAGTGAGACTTTTAAAATATTATATAATAAGAATTAATTTGTTAAATTTGAAATTAAGAGGGATCTAAGAGATTTTTTTTTATCGAAATTCGTCATGAAAACGATTAAATATATTGTCAAAATTTTCATTTGCAAGTTTTTTTTGTCACTTTTCCAAAAATCAAATAGAAAATTTATTTTTCCTTCGAACTAAAATATCGTTAGGGCACAAAAGTTTTAATATCTTCATCTTCAAGATTTGAGGTTTTTTTCTTCTTAAATCAAATGGCAATCTAATTTTCCTTAGTTGATTCTTTAATTTATTTCGTAATTTCTTTTACAAACCCCAAAATAAAAAGTTAATTAAAAATCAAAAGCATTGAAAATTTAGACTAAAAAAAGAAAACATACATTTAAATGAAAGATTTGAAACTTGAAAGATCATTTCCAGATTTTGATCGGGAGATCAACCTTACAACATTATCATCTGGCAATGATTTACCTTTTGGAACAACCCCTTTAACCCTATTACATAAAATCCTAATCTCAATTTTATTTTTATAAGTTTTTTAATATGTATTTAATTTAATTTTATAAAAATCGAGTTAAATAAAATTAGAAAGACATGTTTTGTTCAATAAAACCACATTAATTATTTTGAAAAAGATTTAAAAGCCTCGGAAACTATCAAACCAGAGTTAATAATATAATATCAATGTGAAACCGAAATAATGAATATTGACCGGTTGTTAGCGTATATATGGCGGTCACCTCACCTGATTCCTTGGGATGGTCAAGCTCAAGTACCCTTTTTACCAAGGTCTATGCCACCGGTAATAGCCAGTCTCAACATCGCTTCGGCAAATTATATATTTAGTGATGCATTTATTTTCATAATTTTTTTTAATTATCATTATTTTTTTAAAATCATACATAATATTATATTATTATTTTATTTTAATTATTTGTCACTAAAAAATAAATAAAAATATTAATGTAATAATTTTTTTTATCTTTTTAATTATAACACGAAACATATCATATTTAATTTTTTAACGATAAATGATCAAAATAGAATATTAAGTATGATTTAAAAAAATAATTGGATGACCAATACAAAATTGTGAGGATAGATAGTTGACTAAGTATGTAATTTACCCAAATATTTATTTATTATAAATAAATAAATTATTTGTTACCAAATCGGTAGCGAGTGAGATGAAACTGCGGAAGCTTAGGTGGGAAGGAAAATAAAATATGATACGTTGCGATTGGAATAATTTAGAAAAGGTTAAGAGCGAGAAGAAGAGATAATTAATCAACAGTTGAGATCTTGCCAAGTTGGTTTAGAGCTATCGAGGAATGAAGGGTTAGGATTCGGGTATTATTTGGCAATCAGAGATCTTGGCCGTTCATTAAGGCTTGGAGTGGGTTTCGTTGAGGGTGAAATAGCGAAAAGAAGATGACATTTAGAGCACAAAAAGAGGAAAGAGAGATATAAGGAGAAGAGAGAGAAGTTCAAATCTTTCAAGTCCGAGTCTGATAGATTGTTTCAACACCAGATCTTTGAAAACTATTTAAATCGGATTCTCGCCGGAGATTGTCACCGCAGCTCTGTTGTTGGGCGGACTATGGTGAATTTGAGACGATTCACTGATGAGTGATTTGATTGCTCTTGTTTCTATTTCGACTGATTTATTATTATCTGCAGAGCCGATTAATTTACAGAGATGGATAGAACCAGAGAGGCCAGGAGAGCTACTATGGCCGCCGTTGCAGCCACAACACATGGCCTTTCACGGCGGCGGCATAGAAGTAACTCTCTTCGAGACTCCCCAGGTTTTTTTTAAATCAGATCTGGTCCTCCTTTTCATCTCTAACTCTGTATTTAAAGTGAAATTTTCTGATTCGTCTTTGTTTATTTTCCCTTTTTGTTCGGCGTAGAGGATGATGGACCGGTGGAGTTACAAGAAGCGACACGTTTAAGGGATCGAAAGAAGGATCGAGATCGAGAACGGGAAAGAGTAAGAGAAAGAGATCGCTTGAGTAGAACGAGTAAGAGAAGAAGAGGGGATAGATTGATAAGTAACAGAGAAGATGGAGCTGATGAAAGTTCTGAAGAAAGTGTAAACGATGATGAAGATGAAGATGATGAAGACGGAGTGGGAACCACCGCTGGTGGAGGTTCTGTTCGGATGATTCCCCCAAACAACGTTGCCGGGTCTTTGTCGATTCACCATCAACAGCATCAACATCAACATCAGAAGAGCTTCCAACTACCGGTGAAAGTTATTAGAACGACACCTCCAGCGGGCCCTGCTATTGCTACCACCACAACTACCACATCTACAAGGAAGGCTGCTGATGAGATGATTGCCGTGTCGGTGCCGAGAAAAGCTCGGTCAGGTAGAGAGATGCAAGAGATCAGCGAAATTCTGTCTTTTTTGTTAGCATATTCTACTTCTGTAGTCACTGATTTGTTGTGTTTTTCTTTTTTTACAGCTTCAACTAAAAGGTCTCATGAATGGGCATCAAGTGCCGGTGCTGTTGGTGTAGTTGGCGGAGAACATATTCACCGTCAAGCTTCAACTTCGCCGGTGAGAACAGGTGTAGCTGGGATGCTAGCATCACCGTCTCCGGCTCCTGCCTCTCCATCTTCTTCCAATGCTTCTGTGAGGAAGAAGATGGTCAGTTTTCTTGTTAAATTGTTTGTTCCTGGTTTTTGTGTTTTTTTTGTTCAAATTACTGACGAGGGTTTGGTTTTTGATGTAGAAACATAACGGAGCAAAGCAAAGGCCACCCAAATCTTCGTCGAAATCCTCATCTTCAGCTCAAGAAGAGATTGAGATGGAGATTGCCGAGGTTTTATATGGTTTGATGAGGCAGCCACAAGTCCCATCGAAGCAAGACATAAATGAGAATGATTCAAGAGAAGTTAATAAACACAATAACGATTCTAAATCAAGAGTTTCTTCACCGATCTCCCGCTCCCCACCATCTATTCCTCAACCATCTTCCATTTTACCTTCAAATTCTAACTCTTCCGCTACTCCTATGTCTGCAATTGGTTAGTAACTTTTAGATTATAAGAAATAGAAGCTTGTTGTACCTTTTTGAGCATTTGGGTGACAGATTTTGATTTGGTTATTGTTCTTTTGGTATTGTTTTTGCAGCTCCAAAGAGGAAAAGACCAAGACCAGTGAAGTACGAGGATGAAACTACGCAGATAGCACCGCCTCCTATTTTCCCTGTAATGAACAATTCCATTTCGTCTACTACAACTAAGGTTGAAATCTATCAACCTGCTAAAATTGAAGCTACCTCTCCCAATTTTGAGAAGAACACTGGATCAGTGGCTGAAAAATTGATGAAATATTCTCAAGCCGGACCACCTTCATCAGAGTTAGATCAGGCTGAACCAATGAAGGAAGTGAAGAGCAGTTTGATACAGGATTCTAAGCCTTTGACCAAAGAATCTGAGAGTAGAGATCCGGGTATCTGTAAAAAAGAGGAGTCTCAATCGCTGATGAAGGAAACTGCACCATCTCCTGTTAATAATAATCCCTCTTCCGCTGGTCTCCGGTTGGATGATGAGCGTGATAATTTGACCATGAAAAAAGCGTGAGCATTGCTTCCTTTGCTCATTTCCTTTATTTTTTAATGAGGGGTGTTATAAGTCTGGAAACCTTTGGTGTTTCAGGAATTCAACAGTTTGTGAGATTGAGAGTCAGCGGGAAGAGAAATTCCAGATTGATCTGATGGTGTGGATTCCGTTGTTGTTAAAAGATCCAATTCATTTTTTTTCTTAAAAAAATCTCCTTATTGATTCTTGCTATGGAATTCTTAGTTTCCCCACTGTTTTTTTGGTTTTAGGCTCTTCCTCCATCTAGATCATCACCAGAAAGGGATGATGGAATTGGTTTTGGGGCTTCAGATCCTAAACCAATGTCCACAGATAAGGAATTGGTGAGTCACCAAGCTGTCATATCTTTCAGTGTGATGTTTGTGTCATTAATGGCTTTTGGTTTGCTTCCACATGCAGGAGATGAAGTCTACGGTTAAGGAAGATGATAAAAGAGTGAAAATAGGAAAGGAAGATGTGAATGTGGAAGCTGATGATAGTAACAAACCCAAACCAATTGCTGAAGAAGCTGAGTTACATAATCCAGTTCTAAATAGTGAGAGGAATCTTCAGCTTGATTTGGAGAAATCTGATAGAGATAGTGGCACAGGTAGTGTCTGTGCAAACAAGTTTAATCACCATGCTCAAAAGCAGCAGCATCAACAGCCTGATATTGAGAAATCCGGTAAAAGCAATCCCTTTTTCTTTTCATGGGAAAACTTCTCTGTGGTTTTTGATTGGATTTCTGTTATTTGTCCAGCACAATCTGGTGCTCTACCTTTGCCGATGTCATTGGCTAGCTGGCCTGGTGGACTTCCTCCAATGGGGTATAACTTTTTGATTTAATATTGGGTTTTTGTGCGTTTTTAGCATTAGATGATATATACATCTGGTTTAGATGTTAGAATGGGGGTAATGACTTTTTCCCCCATCCTGAGCAGATACATGGCTTCTCTACAAGATGTTGTATCCATGGACGGGAGCGCTGTATCTTCAGCGTCTATTCAGGCATGACGCAATGTTCTTTATGTTCTCCTGTCTTTGTTATTATTAGTTCTAATCTATCTTTATCTTTTGGACTACGCAGCCTCCACATTTGCTTTTTAATCAACCAAGGCCAAAGAGATGTGCAACCCATTGTTATATTGCTCGGAATGTACATTATCACCAGCAATTCTTGAAGATGAATCCTTTCTGGCCAGCAGCACCTGGTTCAGCTTCACTCTATGGACCAAAGGCAAATCTAAATATTGTGCCCCCTTCAGAATTGAATGGGAACATTCCTGGGAGAGCTGTGAATTCTGTACAAGACAAGGGCCAGAGTCTTGCAATTTTCCCTGGTCATGTTGGTAAAGATAAAAGTTCGCAGGCTGCTACCAATACTGTGGATGGTGCACAGAGAAATCAAATACTGCTCCAGCCAGCTCTACCCACTGGAGCACCAAGTAATATTCTGGTATGTTCTTGACTGAGAAAACCTCCCTTCTATTTTTTTATTAATAACGAAGTCCTATGCTGTATAAAATTCCACAATTATATCTGATAGTGTTGTGAACTTGCCCTTAACATTATACAATAGAAGTGCCTAAGACCCTTTTGGGCGAGGCCATTTGATCAGGCACACTGCTGGTGAATTCAAACTCTATATTTCTCAACTTTTCTTGTTTTTAAGGAGGCAGAGTGTAATATCGAAAGTAGCACTTGTATAGTTTTTTTTTTTCAATATATAATAATATAGAAAATATTTTTAGAATTTAAATTCTTATTAATTGCTGTTCACACGTGCTGTCTGATAGATCAAATCTGTGTACTTCGAAAATTTGTTAAATTATACTAATATTTTAACCTTTGTCGAATTTGATAGTCGAGATTTTATTTGAACGTCAAAAAAGAAGCATTTTACTTAAACTGAAATATTATAAATCTAAATTTTAAAAATTTTGTAACAGATTTAATGTGACGGAGTATTTATATGTATTAGTGTTGTAAACACAAATAAGGTTGACATTTGACAACTTATAGTAGTCTAGAGAGTTGATATTTATTTAAGGATAATTATATCATCTGGACAATCAATTTGATATTTTTCTTTTTGACGTGTTCTATATAAGCATGGTCCTGCTTTTATTTTCCCATTGAGCCAGCAAAAAGCTGCTGCTGCATCTGTCCGACCTGGTCCTGTGAAATCTGCTGGTTCTGGCGGTACAACTTTGAGTACATCTAACTCTGCCTCAGCAAGTACCAACCCGGCTGGTGCAACTGCAGCCTCAGCAATGAGCTTCAACTATGCGAATATGCCAGGCAACGAAACCCAGTACTTGGCAATTCTGCAGAATAATGCATATCCATTTCCATTTCCTGCACATGTTGGGGCACCGCCTGGATATCGAGGAAATCATGCACAGTCTATGCCTTTTATTCCTGGATCTTTCTATTCTTCCCAAATGCTTCACCCATCTCAGATTCAGCAACATCAGCAGCAGCAGCCTACACCGTTGCAGCAAAGCGAACAAGGTCACCAGAACCCTGGCATGTCCAGTTGTGCATCCTACTCCCAGAAGCATTTGCAGAGGCCTCATGGAAGTGGGGTGGGTGGTGGCAATGGAAACTTGCAAGTTTTTCCTACTTCCAAAAATCAGTCACCTCATCCCCTACAGCTTCAGCAACGGCAGCAACAGCCAAGTCAGCATGCTTCTCATCAAGCTCGGCGCCGTGAGGGTGAATTAGGTGGCAAAGACAGCCCATCAACTGCTGATAGCAGGGTATCTGGTGCTAATATGAATAATTACTGTCAAAATTTTTCCATGCCCATGCAACCTCCAAACTTCACTTTGATGACTACTGCGTCATTGGGTGGTTCCACCAGTTCTGGTGGTAACCATGGGGAAAAGAAGCAACATACCCAACAGCCAGGTTCGAAGCCTGGAGTTGAGTCTCTTACATCTCAATCTTTTGCCATGTCATTTGCCTCCATTAATGGTACTACTACTGCTCCTGGACTTGATATTTCCTCCTTTGCACATGATCATGCACATGATCATGCAATTCTTCAAAGCCTTCCAGAGAATACAAGGCAAGGCTATCAACAGTTCATGGCAGCGGCCGTAGCTGCCCAAACAACACAACAGAAGAAGAATAATTATCATGCTTCTGAAGAAGGGAATCACGGGACTAATGATGCATCTGGTGTGGAAGAAGGGAGGAATACAAAGGCAGGAAATATTTCTGCTACTGCCGGGCAGTCCATTGCCTTCTCTAGGCCGGATCTGTCTGATTCGTCTGTTTCCACTGTTCCAGAGAGCAATGTTATTGATAGTTCAGCCTGCACAATTAATCTTGGCTCTGCTCCTGCCAGAACTTCAGGTTCTGTTATGCCAGCTTCGATCAGTGGTGTAAATTCTCCTAATGCTCGGCAGCAACTTCAGCGGAATCAACAGCAGCAGCAGCAGCAAATGCTTCAGCTTCAGCTTCAGAAGTCACACCAATTTGGTACTGCTGCCGCTTCTCGAAGTAAGCTGCCGTCAACAAGTAATGGAAGTGCTTATTCTGATCACCTTCCTTCATCTTCTATGGCTGGCAAATTTGCAAATCACCTGTTTCCTCAAAATATGGTGCAAACCAGCAGTAGTCCAACTCAATCTTCTCAGTGGAAGAATTCTGTAAGAACAACTGCTTCTCAAGTTTCTCCATCTCTATCATCGTCAACTTCATCAACCCTTAAAAATATTTCCCAGCAACAAGCCCGGCCACAACAAAACCACACAGAGATTTCTTTTACAGCTAATCCTAAAGTAACACATAGTCAACAGCCTCCTAGTAGCACTCCATCCCCCTCTCCTCCGATGGTGGTTGGCTCTCCCACAACTTCAATCTCCAGGAGTGCTGGTGGTAGCCCCAAGACAACATGTTCCACTTCTACTGGCAACAAAGGTGGTCAAGCATCTAGTTTATCATCTCAGCAGACCAAGAACACACCATCTAGTCAGATGTCATCTCCTATTGGTGTGAGGAGTGTGCCTTCCGTCCTGGGAAACCCCCACTTAAGTTCATCTTCAAATATGGGTACCAAGCCCCAGGTGGTGCTACAGCAGCAGCAAAAACATGCAATGCATCCTGCACAGCTATTCTTCTCAAACGCTTACATGCAGGCCCAAGCTCAACACACACCAAGTACAACAGCTGCAAGTGGGTACTTTCTTCAAAGGTACCGTAATGAGCAACAGCAGGCACAGCCTCCAGGATCATCAACAACTTCAACGTCCATGTTGTCATTGTGTTCTACAGCCAACACTGGTACCACCGACCCTGCAAAGGAAGCTGCTGCGGGAAATATGAAGGGAGGTGGCATAATAACAACACAGGGGCTTATCCATGCTGCTCAATTTGCTACTACACAGTCCTCTGGAAAGCCATATCAGCTGGTTCCAGGGTTGCAGTATGTTCATGCTGTTCCTGCCACCGTTCAGGTGAAACCAGCAGAACAGAAACAACCTGCTGGTGAGTAGAATTATACCCTTTTTGTGCTTTCGTATTGGTTGTCACCTTACAAGGAACAAGAAAAAGATAGGGCAGTGGAAAGAGATTTTTGTATTGCAGTTTATTGTGGGTTGTGCTTAATCCATGTATACTTGTGTTGATAAACTTGATCATCCTCAAGTCTGAAATTAATTAGAATGGTTTGATGGGGGCGAAAGATGGGGGTAAATAGGTTGTCAAAGAATGTTTTTGTAGGGCAAAAGATGTAGGGTGAATAGGCGTGGAGGGAGGGAGGGCAACACCTACTTTTTCCATCTATTGTTGGGCGGTAACGGTGGTTCTTTTTCCTATTTAATTTTATTTCCTCTCTTTTTTATTTGAATAGATCAGTAGTCAAAATCTTTTGACATAATATATATGCAACTGAAAGGTGTATATGTATATGCATGCGTTGCACGTGCAAATTTAAGAGTAATTCTCTCCATTTTTTTTCTCTGATCGCCATTTTAATTTTTCATTGCCAACTCTTTTTAATTTACTGGGAAGCAAAGTTAGGGTACAAGACAAATATGGGCCACTGCCGTTGCGTGCGTATTGCGGGCCATTCGTCTTTGTACGTTGTGATTATTCTTTTCCCTTAGCCGAATAATGATTGAATTGAGACCATCTCTTTTTAACGTCGGTCTCTTATTAATTGAATACAAATGTTAAGATTACTTGGATCAATCATTATAATCGTCTTTATTCATGTATACATGAAATAACTTCAATGGCAGGACTAAAGAATGTGACATCTTTTAATGTTAAATAATATGCTTAATGTTTAGTCAAATATCTTATTTTATTTTTGTTTCGGTAAATAGTTATTTTAAGTTTTATTTTTTTCTTTATACCTTTTATTTCTACATAAAAAGATTATATTAACGATTGATTAAATAATCATGTAAGTTTCTATTTATCTTTAGAATATTTTGATCTTAATTTTTATTTTCAAGTTTAATTAACAATTTTTATAAATTGAGAGATCCTTTTTATCAAAATAAAACATTAATGGTAAAAAATGTTAAGATTTAAAATTTTCAACAAAAAAAAATATTAAAGGTACTTTTTTATTTTATTTATAAATATTTTGATATCCTCTCCTTGAAGGTGGGTGGAATGATTGTTTTATAACACACGCATTACACAAGGGAGTGAATATAGAATGATATGTGCTGAACTTTTCCAAATCCAGGGTTTAAGATGGGTGGGTCCGTATCCAATTCAGGATCTGTATCTGTACCCAAAGGGGGGGGGGGATACATGCAGCTGCTCACATTCTTTTGTATTGTCCATTGTTTTTAAAAATAAATAAATTGAAAACATGAAAGTGTGGGGTTGTTGAGTTTTCTCTAAATTTTGGTGTGCACGACCCCACCAATAGAGGCATTTGTTCCCTCTCTTTGCCCAAAAGTTTCTAATAAAATATGAATACTTCATGATGTAGGGAGTGAGTGGGTCCTTTTCTCTCACAAAAAAAAAATATCAAGATTAACTTAAACATTATTTTTAAACTATAAAACCAACATTATTAAAGACTAACCCTATGCCGCCTTACTATTTCTAAGAAAACAATGAACACCATACAAATTTTTGTACCACTCCTTATTCAGCTCGGAGATTCAATTAGGTAGGAAACATAATGGGTAAACAACACTAATGATTTCTTATATTTCCAGTTTGTTTGATATTGATCATCGATTTTAAAAATATTTAATCTTAATCATTTTTATTTTCGATTAGTCTTATTTTGTTTATTAAATTGTTAACTCTTATTACTTTAAAATGATTAAATTTCAACTTAATCTCTGAGTTTTTTACATAATACTAATTTGACCTTAATATAAAAAATAAATTAATCATTGGATATTAGATAAAATATCAGTTTAACACTTAAAATTTCTGTTATCAATCATCATTCATCATCGTCGCTGATCACCATAAGAGGAGCATCAATTTTCGGGGGAACCTTAGGATTGCAGAGAGAGGGACGGTGAGAGGAGCATAAACCGTCAGCACTTGACCACGCTTATCTTTGTAGTGCACTCCTCTGACAGTCAAGCAGAGATGACACTGTCCCTTGTTCTAGACTTACACTGCATTATCATATCATCAAGACATGGATTTTGCAAAATTTCAGATGGGTCGAATTTATTTGCGAAGAGATACAGCCTTTGAACGAAAAGACCATTACCGGCACCATTGGACTGAAAACCTTTCCAGAACTGGCTGAGCATCATTAATCTCATCGACACAAACTGCAGTTCCAACATTCAACGTCAAAGAAAGAACATCTCAACATTATATTGTTGCATAAGCTATTTAAATCTGGGATCGTTCTTGTTTACCCTCTAGGGGTAGCCCCCCCGGCATTAGATTTTTCACCACCAATTCTGTGATGTTATCAGAGAAGATCAATTCCGTGAGGTGCATTTCTATTTGAGATGATGAAACCATGCAGGAAAGGAGAGAATATTGGGACCTTTCCAAGAGAATAAGCAAGAGCAGCACCCAACAGCCTCTGAATTTCTACATTTCTTTACATAGTTGTCGTTTGGAAACTCAATAGAAGCTGGTGTTTTCATCGCCCCTAAATCTCATTAGAGAATTATAGCCCAAGAAAGCAAACCCCAAGCGAGAAGCTATAGCACCTGCACCTACAACTCCAACCATGTAATAATCAGCCATTAATTTAATAACAACGTGGAACAAAATATGCAATGAACCATCAATGAATGCAGGCTGCGACTGGTGAAGCAATGATTTGTTAGATAGAATCATTAATCCAAGAATAAAATAGTAAAATAATGATAATAATATTTATATATCATTATAAAATTTAAAATAAAAAATGAGTTTATCTTATGATGGTTAGAAGTATAATAATAAGATACCATAATCACACCTAAAACATAGAACAAACGAAATTAAACTTCTTAAATAATATTAAAAATAATAATATAGAAAGAAATACTCTGTCTGGTAGACCAATCGATTGGAAACGAGTTCAGGCTTGTTGCTACACAAATTTCTTAAGATAAAATTTCGGTCACTCATTGGTGTTAGAGTTCGTTGATCGTCTGTCTCCCAAATACATCAACTAGATGATCAGCATACAGTAACACAGCTGTAAAGATCATGAACTATATCCTTGCCTTTATCTATCACCAGAAAACCAAATACAAAAAACTTGTAAGCTTGAAATTTTTTTGAAAATTGTGTTAAATCTGGGAGGTTAACAAAAATATTTTTAGGAGTTTCTCCTAGGAAAAATATTAAGGTTTTTTAATGGAACTATAATATTGTATTCTAATCGAATATAAATTTATAATAATATATTCGTATTTTAATTAAATAAAAATTCATAAATAACACATTTGCATTTAATCAAATATAAATTTATAAAAAATATATTATTATTTCAATATAATATAAATTCGTAGATAACATTTCAAATTCTAATTGAATATAAATTCTTAAATAGTAAAACATTTTCTTGTTAATATTCGAATTTTAAAGAACCCATATAATATTTACAATTATATACTTGTATTGGAAAACAATGAACACAGTTTCAATCCGTAATTGTCTACCATCTGAATAAGATGTTAATCTAAAATTTCTCATCTTTAGAACACGTCGAAGACCTCGGTGGAAAAAGAGAATTTATTTTTCTTAGAGATCTAGATTTGTTTACGTTATTTAGTGATTAAAAAATTAAATAAATATTATCTTATAATTATCTCATACTAATAAAAAAATTCCCCTCCAGTGTCATTCTTTTTCCATTTTATATTTGAATTCTTTAATTTCCATCTCGTGTGAATTTACGCCAAGATTATTATTTCCAAACTCATAATATCAAACCTAAAAAAGAAAACTCTTCTTTATAACTGAAGCTAGATACCAACATAGAAGAAACATTCATATCAAATTTGGTTATCGCTTCAATTTGAGTTTATTTCTTTCATCCCTTAATTTCAGAGTAAAAAGTAAATATAGTTAGAGTTAATCTGTCAATTTTGAACCCAATTTGATTAACTTGAACTTTAATTTAATTTAACAAGATTAAACTATTAAAATTTTCCCAAACTCGTCATTTTCTGTTAAAAATTGACGACAATATGAGTTAGACGTTAACCTATTGATTGTGATATGATAAAATTTAATCTCATAATCTCAAACGACTCTCAGATCTCGATCAACAGGTTAACGTCCAACTCAAACTGTCATTAATTTTTTAACAAAAAAGGACGAGTTTGGAACATATGAATAGTTGGGGGACCATTTTATAACTTCTGATAGTCAGGGACTCACAAAGTAATATCCTATACTCGAGATATCATTTTGTAACTTTTAATAATTAAGAGACTCAATGAAATAATACCTTATAATCATGGGATCATTTATGTATTTTACCCTAAAATTTAACAAGCAAAATTCATCTATATTGAATATTAAGTTATCCGTACATAAAGTTAATTTAAACCCAAAATAATTTGAATATTTACAATGCAAATTAATTTAATCCCAATCGAAAGGTCAAATAGACTGAATTCAAGAGTCAAATTGAAATGAAATGGTATCCGTTAGCATAAATATGAGAACGTGGAGGGACCACATACTCCCAAATGTAACCCAAAATTAAAGATGGCCCAAGGACCAAACTTCAAAAGATACATAAACACCTTGAGAGAGAAGAGTCCCCTTCCATTCTCACCAAAAATAAGAACACCTCTTCTTCTTCCTCCTCCAGGGGCGTAAAACACAGTCTACAATGGCTTCAAAGAGAGTTATGGCTCAGGCTTCTCTGCTTCTGATGGTTGCCTTCCTTCGATTCTCCCATGCAGCTGTTTACAAGGTTGGAGACTCCGCTGGTTGGACCACCATTGGCAATATTGACTACAAGCAGTGGGCTGCTACTAAAACCTTCAAACTTGGCGACATTATTAGTAGTTCTTCTTTTTTCCCCCAATTCTTCATACGTTTTTCTATCACAATTCTGGGTTTGTTGCTGTATTGGATTTCCTCTACTTGGAACTGAATTACTAGCTTTCACAAAATATCTCTACTTGGGACTGAATGTCCTCTTAGATAAGAGTAATCTACTGCCCTAGTTTTTTTCCTTATCAATTTTTGTTTTCAGTGAAGGATTGAAGGGCGCAGTTAGGCTATCATATCACCTATGAAAATTAAAAAAAATATTTTTAATTGATAATTTGTTTTACAAGACACTTGGCAAACAAACAAAAAAATGGGCAGCAACGTTCACCAAATTGTTGGGGTCCAGTTTATAAATGTGCTCCCACAACCCACTTTCGCATGCCTCCATCATTGTAACTTTCATTTCACCCCAAAAGCTTTGTCAAGTTTATGATGTCTGGTAGAGTCTCAAATCCATCCATTCAATGTTAGTAAAAAATCTGTTTAATTTTGTTTCATTTATTTGGTTGTGTATTCACCAGGAACTTGATAAGTACTAGGAGACACTTATTTAAATTGTGGTAACAGTCAAGTTACGTTTATTTCGGTTGCAGACTAATAAATGTTATTGTCATCACTTTACCTTTGTTTTATTATATTTCTGTTGATAAGGAGTTAGATTTTTTATAATTTTACTATAGCAGAACTATAACAGGAATAGCAACTTGTAATCGTTGCAATTGGTTATTATGTTAAATTACTGTGGCGATCCATTTTTATTGATATGATTCATCTTCACAATATTATTTTTGACCGTAACGATTTTCGACGGTGTCGCTTTTGCTATATATACTATTAGACCGTTATTTGCATTCATGATATTAGGCTACTTATTTACCACTTTCTAAAATAAATAACATATTTTGATCCTAAACTAAATTAACCTTCCCAAATCTACACTAACAAATATGTATGTGTGTTTTCCTAAAAGTAATTTCCATCAAAATTTTGAAAAATGGTTTGTAATTTGGCAAAAGTTTTTTTTTTTTGTTTTGAAGATGTGGGATCTCTTAGCTTTATTATAATAATGTTCAACAACTTTTTTGATGGGAAAAGAATGGGGCCTAGCTGTGTGTTCATGCTTAATTATATATATACACAATAATGCATTGCCACTTTTTCAGTACAGTTCTAATATAATTGAATCACCTACCTTTGTATTGTGTCAAGATTCAATGAAATGGGGGATTTGCACTCTAAAGTAATTTACACAAATTCTACTTGCATTACTTATTATTTGGATTAGGGATGAATATAACATTTATGTTAGAGACGAAAATAAATTATTAATAGAAAATACATAAAAAAAATCTATCATATTTGATAATTTTATATTTTTAGATGATAATTGTCTCAGCACGTCACATCGATCAACCCTATTCAGACTGACATAAATATGTTGTTGTTAAACAGTTTTCGAGTACAATGCTCAGTTCCACAATGTGATGCGAGTAACCCATCCGATGTACAGGGCCTGCAATACCTCAGCCCCTTTGGCTACATATACCACTGGCAATGACTCCATTAATATAAGTACCAAAGGTCACCACTTCTTTTTCTGTGGCGTTCCTGGACACTGCCAAGCTGGACAGAAAGTAGACATCAACGTGCTTCGTATCTCCGAAACAGCTCCGGCCTCGGCTCCCTCTGAACCGACCACCGCTACTTCAGTTCCTTCGGTGAGTGTCCCATCACCCTCGGCAAGCACCGCTATCTCTCTGAAAGCTTCCAGGGGGAGTTTTGCTAAACTTTGTTTAGCAATGGTAGGTTTTGTAGTTTTTTTAAGTTTCCACTGAACCATGTTGTTAGTGTGATTATTACAATAATCAATTGTATTAGTCAGTTGTGAAGGAAGATTCGCTTGGCTTTTATTATTGTTGATGCACCGATGTTTCATAAGTACAATAATTTAAAATATCTCTACCCTTCTGTCTCCCTTTCTTACTGAAACCGAACCTGAGCTCCACTTGTTCTGCGCCTCCACTGAAATCGCAACCCTCAACGCACCATCATCTTACACCAAAACACTCTACATCAAATGTTTATTTTACCACAATCTTGATTTTCTAAATTTTTTAAAATTCTCCTAATTTTTCTTCATCATCTGCTCATTTTTTTGAGATTAAAGTAAGATATCATTTCTTATTATTTAAAAGTTATTAAAGCTTTCTAGAATGAGAGATTCAGTTTTGATGAATTTTATATGAGTTTTTGATATTTAAATATGATTTTAATTTAGAAGATTAAAACATTCTAGATAATCTCATCTTAAACAATGGATAGGTGTACCTTCTACATTTAATTTATTATTTGACATGATAAACTTTAAAATACTTCTATTAATGGATTAATGAGTTTTTAGAGACTAAACTAAAAGAATTGAAAACATAAAAGATCACTTAATAATTTATCTTATATGGAATTATATTAAATAAAAAAATAATGTATTGATTTTATATATTCGATTAAAATTAATAAATAATTTTTATATTTATCTTAAATATTTTAGAAATTTTGATAATGAAAAATTGATAAGGGAAAGTGTCCACGTGGCCAACGGGGACGGGACGAACAAACATGTCAAAAGTTAAGGTTGTCGACAAAAGACAGCCCGTGACTGGTAAGAAAGCACGCGCTCCTAAATTTAAAATAGAACTGCGTGCAGTGCACGAAACAATGAGGACGGCGACGTGTTAACCGTTTCCATGTGCCCAGTACCGTGGCCCTACCGCCGTCTTTGTCACGCGGCGTGCAATAATGTTTTAAAAAACTCAGTTGGTAGAGCATCTTAATTTAGGTTGTGGGATCGAGTCTTATGGTGAATATTTAATAATTTAGAGGTATCTTACGGAAGTTATCAACTTAGTGTTAGGGCATCTACTATCTTACCTCCCCTACACCATTACATATGAAAACAATGACAATCATTTTTACAATAAAATTAGAGTACATTTTTTTAACTTTTTATTTATAAAAGAATTTTTTATACAAACAGTGTATTAAATTTATTTCATATAATACGTTTATTTTTATACTATTTATTATTTTATTTAGAGTTTAACTTTTATATTTAAATTTTTAGGTTTAAATGTAGATTTACAATTTAAAATTTAAGATTTAGAGTTTTGTATTATAAAATATAGGATTTAGAGTTTATTATTTTTTACTTTAGATAATATTTTCTATTTAAAAGAAATTTTATTTTTTAATTAAAATATTAACTGAAAAAGTTAGATTCATCAATAAGGGTGTAAATGAGCCGTGTTTGAATAAAGTTGGGTTTGTGTTTTTTGTTTATTTTTTAAGATCTTCATATTTGATTCATGTTCGTTTAAATTTTTAATATAGTATTCATATTGGTTTATTTATTTTGAAAGTGTTCGTATTCGATTCATTTAATGTTTGCGAATATATTCATTTAGCATTCAAGAACAATTTCATTTATATGTTCAAAAAATGGTGAAATTATGCTACTAATCCTTAAGCTTCTTACACTCCAGAATTTGAACTCCTCAGTCAATACCTTCACTAATATTTAAAATGCAAAAATAAAAAAATGAAAATTGGGTAAACAAGCTTATAAATGAATCGATAAAAAGTTATAAATGAACAAATAAACAAATTTTTAAATGAGTTTGTTCGTAAACATGAATGAATCCAACACACTTTTATTCATATTCGTTTTGTTTATTAAATGAAAATAAAAATTTGTTTATACTCATTTATTCAACTTAATAAATAAACATAAAAAACGTTATTTTAAATTATTTTAAATTTAACAAATTTTTTTATTTTCACAAATTAATGAGTAAGCCATCACACAAACATATGTGATATTGATACGAGTTTAGGAGGGCAAAACAATTTATTTTGAAAAAAAATTGAAGTTGTTGTTTAAGGTTGAAATATTATTTGACTTGTAAATAATTTCAGACATTTTTATTCATTCTCGTAGTTTATCTCGACTATACCATTTAATATTTGTTAATTTAATATCATAGTTTAGTTTAAATACAATTTTATATATTCTACCTTAATTTTAAGAATTTACAAACTTATAACTATACGTTTTCCTTATAAAAAACACAAAAACACAACAAATACCAAATAGTCAACTGTACAATGATAAATATTTTATATTATATTTAAGGGTAAATTACATATTTAGTATTCAACTATTATTTATGTTCTGTTTTGGTCATCTAACTATTTTTTATTTCAAAATAATATCTAATATTACGTTTTGGTTTCATTTTGGTAACCCATCGCTAAAAAATTAACGGTGATATTGATGTGTCACCATAAGATAATACCATGTCATCATTAAAAAGTACTACATCAACAATTCTATAATTTTTTAACTGTGTGTGACCAAAATATAACATTGAATATGATTTTGAAGAAAATAAAAATTGAGTGACCAAAACGAAGCAAAAGTGATAATTGAAATATTAAATGCGAGTTTGCCCTATTTTTTACTGTCTAGGTATGATCTTTAAACGATTAACTATTTTAAGACCAAACACACTATTGTCTAAGATAAACTATTAGAGAGTAATGTCGTCATATTTAATTTATCTTTCTATATTCTTTTAATTTTTTTATTTTAGTTTTATTTTAAATTTTTAATAAAATTAATTTTGTTTTTAATTTCAGTATATTCATTCAGAAACGTAAAGGATATTCAATTTAAGTTGTCACGTCTTCCTTATTGGAAATGATATAAAATAAATTAAAATGTAAAAATAATAAATATATTAATTAAATAATATAAATAAATTTAATATAACTTATAAAAATAAATAAAGTTTATATACAATAAAGGATAGGATAAACTATATCTGATACCACTTAAATGAGAGGATTTTAGTATGACCATTATTTTTTTTAATTTTTCAATTAGGTCACTTAACTGAATCGATTAAATCATAAGTCGTTAACATTTGACAGAGGAGTTGTTATGTGTCATCATTTGATTGGATTATTAAAATTTATTAAACTAAATTAAAACTATGACAAAATTGATATAATAAGTATGTAATGAAAATTAAATTTGTAATTATATTAATTTTTTAACTATCACATCAATTTATCTTTCAAATGTTAACAACAAGTGACTTAATATATCATTTAAACATTTAAACATTTAAACAATCATATAATTAATACTATTTAAATAATTAAATAATCTAATTGAAAAATTAAAAGATAAATAATTAAATTAATTTTTTTATAATTAAATAATTACAAAATATAATTTATCTTAGAACATATGAACACCATAATTGTGAGGTCTATGCATAAGTGCGATATACTTGTAAAAACCGAAAGTAGGAAACATAGCGATGGGGAAAAATGATTTTAGTTTTTTTTTTACTTTTTTTTTTTTTATAAAAGAAAAAATGAGAAAGACAAAAGACACAGAAAATGGAGAGAAAATAAAATAACAGTAGATTTTTTATAGGATAAAGTACATAATGATTTTTTTATTATAAATTATTTTTTATTAAATTTTTAATTATTAAAATATATAAATTATTTTTTAACTATAAAATATAATTTTGTTAAGTTCTCTAATTATTAAAAATTATAAAATAATTACTGATTATTTATATATTTTAAATTTGTTTTTTTATGTTATAAAATTGATAACCGTCAATTATCGTTTATATTATATTATTTAGTCAATACTTATAAGTATACCGTCGAGTTAATACTTTAAAGAATGACGGTATCAATACATATTATTAAAATATTTTTTTTATCATAATCAACAAATTAATATTTAATTCATACAATTACTATTTTTTAACAGAAAAATATAATTTATAATCCTATGATTAGGAGACTATTTATGTGTTTTTTTTTTTATTATTTTCTCTTGTTTTAGAACTTAAAGTACAGCAGCCTTCTTTTCTTCTACAATATTTTTCTCTTTCCGACTTCTCTTCGAATTCCCAGAATTAGCAATAACGGCATAAAACCCAACTCTGTTTCTCCACTGTCAGCCTTTCACAACAGATCCATTTTGTAGTTGCCAAAAAAGAGAGAGTAATAGTCTGTTTTTGTTTTGTTTTCGAAGAGAGAATTCCTTCGGGTTGACTAAGATTAAAGCTTTCATGGGGTCCATGAAGATTTCTCGGACCTCCCTCCTCTTATGTTTTTTCTGATACCACTAAAGAGCTTCAACTTTTGGCTCTTCTTTTTTGTTCCTTCGGAGGTTGTAATTTGCTCAAGCCCAATTCCTTTTGGTTTCTTCTTCTTTTTATCTTTTCTCTTGTTGTTAGTTGTTTCGGATTGTACTGAATTGGTTTTATTACAAAGGACAGAGATGCAGTCGGGTCGGTTACAATCCGCGGTGAGTCCGATTCCCCAGCGGATTCAGTCTCTTCAAGCAGCTGATACTAGAGGGAAGCATAGGATACAAGCAGAACTCAAAAGGCTAGAGCAGGAGGCTAGATTCTTAGAGGTTTGTAAAAATATATCACCCTTTTTTTTATACAATTTTTGGATTAATCTTTTAGCTACAGAAATGTTTCTGTTCTTGTTTGGAATGTTTGATTTTCAGTTGCTTTGATGATTGGATTTGGATTATTTGATTGTGTCTTTGAATTTCAAATGATAAGTCACCTGAATTTTGTCCCTTGTTCTGGATATGGAGCAAATGCCAGACCTTGAATTACTGTCACTTTATTTGTGCTAAACAGATAGGGATACCCTGCAATTATTTGTTTATCATGGAAGGGTATTAACTCTGGGGGAAAAAGAAGTAGATGCAATTGACTTAGATCACCTTAACTGTACTGGATCGGTTGCCCAATGGTTTGGCCTTTTGCTATCAAACGGTGGCTCTTTTCTTCATTTGCATTAATTCAACTTCTTTGGTTTAATTCAATAAGGCTAGTGGACTAGATTGGTTCCGAATTGATTACTTCTTCCTTTGCTTGTGACTCGTAAGTTAACTTCAGAGGCTCTTTTCTTCATTTTCATCAATTCAACTTCTTTGGTTTAATTCAATAGGGCTATTGGACTAGATTGGTTACGAATTTATTATTTCTTCCTTCGTTTGAACGAGGCTCTCTCATCTGTAAGGCATAGTTTTTAAGCAACTTTCTGATGACCTTAACTTAAACTTTTAATGTACTGTATTTCCTTTATATAGTACATCGTCTTGAAGAACTTGCTGTTCACGTTATGTAGCTAGGTCTCTGGTGTTGATACCAGATTTTTGAGTCCTTGTTTTGGTCCATTAAGTTGGGTTCATTATGCTCGCATTCAATGATTTATTGTTGCACTTCACCACCTTTCAAAATTTGGTTTGTTCCATTCGGATGCATGCCGACTTTAGGCTGTAATTTATTATATTTGATTCGTTTAATTTTTAAGATCCCTTTTTTGGTCAAACAATGATATTCTGCTGTCATAATCTACCGGATAAATTATTCATTCGGCAAGAAACTCACTCAGTTGTCAATATTAACTTGTAATACGAATGTTATTGTTTCATCTGTGAAGCGTAATAATATATAGGATTCACCAAAATGGTGGGGAGGCTTTTTCCGAAAGGTGTATTGACTAGACCAGAAGAATTTAATATGAAATTTTGCTTTGGTTGGATTTAAGCCTTTCGATTTATCCATTTGCTTTGCTTTATATGTTTTTTTTTTCTTTCTGACAATGAGGGGTTGAAAGATATAGAGTATGTTACTGATCTAATCACAAGCTTAAGTTTGCTTACCTGAAGATTTCGCCATTACTAAGCAGCTCCCGAAAACTGCAGTACACATTTGATTGTACAAATTATTTGTTTCATTTTTTGAGCGAACTTTAATAGTTTTAATTTTCATTTCAAATTCCTTCGTTTATCGCAAATGCAACCATCCCCTTCTTTTTATGACTTGTGTTCCGTATCCCTCGTGTATGTCTTCCCTTCTGCTGTTGACACCCCTCTACTGTTGGGAGATTTTCTAAACTTTGCTTAAACTAGAAATTATTAGGTTTTCTTTCTTTTATAAGTAGGAAGGAAACTTAATTTTTCAATCATGTTCGAGTTGTTGTCTCTTCTGTCTGAAATTGTATATTTGGTCAGTTAAATCCAGAAGTGAATTATTTTGGCTGCAATAAATCAAGTCCTCTTTCAGTTTCTACTGTCTGACATAGCGGAGAATAGTTAATGATGCCGGTTTGGCTTCAACTATTAAGTTCTTCTTTTTCATATTTTATGCTGAGATTCGATTTAAACGAATGCAGCTATATCAGTCTTGTATGTTGAATTTGAAGGCTGAAAACATCGATGCAGCCATCATTTTGAGAAGGTCTCTGTATTGATGTCCCGTACCTTACCATATATGCTTAAGATTCTAACATGAAGTGCTAATTTTGCGAAAAGTTTCTAATCATTAGACCTAATAATTACTATTATGATTGACCTTGCACGATATTCGGTGAATGCAGGAAGAGCTAGAGCAGATAGAAAGAAGGGAGAAGGCATCAGCAGCATGTAAAGAGTAAGCATGAAGACGACGTGGTATTCGTTTACTATCTTAGCATGAAAGCTGATTGAAATTTGCTTTCTTATGCATGTCAGGATGCTCGGCAATGTCGAAAGTAAACCCGATCCGCTACTCCCCATGTACGTCGGTACAAACATAGATTCATAGATATCTTTAATTTAACTTTTGAGGTAATTCTGAGAATTGCCTTCGATCAATTTTTGACAGAACAAATGGCCCTATAATTCCTGTATGGGATCAATGGTTTGAAGGACCCCAAGAAGCTCAAGGTTGCAAATGTTGGATACTGTGATAGTTTTTTAGCTGATTCAACGGTTCTTTTTACCACACTCGGTTCAAGCCCTTTCAACAATACATTTTAGTTGTGTTTCAAAATAGAACCAATCAAAAGATAACATGTGTGACATTTCAATTGTTGTGCTTAATTTCATATAAAAATATGCTATATATTTTTACAGATGTGATAGTGTCACAGCATCATATTTTCATATGTGGATATGTCACATAAATATTTTCTTCCAGCTATATTTGTTCAGTCATATTTAATGATCGTTTATTGACTAATAATTTTCATACATAAAGAGATTATTTATCGTAAAAAAATTTGTGGGCTAAGTGCTCAGGAAAGAAATAGAGATTAAAGTTAATATTTATTTATGTCAGATACATTTTTTATATTATACCTTTAAAATATATAAAAGGAAATAAAAATAAAGGAGCGATAGAAAATAAGGAACGAAATATCTTTGTTTGTATTTTGATAATCTTTATGTGTATTCATAGTATTATAAAAATGTATAAATTTTATATTTTAATAAATCATTTGATGAATAATTTAACATATTAGAATATATTCATGTTTTTGTTTTGTTTTTTAAACAGTTTTTTATGTTATTGTTCGTATCATGGCCTAATTCATTTTATGTTTTGTACAGTTTATTATTGTAATTTAACATGGTGAACATATTGTATGTTCATTTTATGTTTCAATTCATAATATATATTTTCTAAATATTTTTTTAAGAAAATGTATTCGTCATATGTTTATGATAATTTTTATATGCTTAAATTATTATAACTTAACAAAATTTTAAAGGTTATATATATTTTGATAAGTTTATATATATCATTTTGTTCATATTTCTTCGGTTCTATTTTTATTTGTTCAAATTCTCAACTATTTAACTGTGAATATTTATACATACATCTCAGCATACATGATGTTCAAACTTATAACCTTAAGGAATAACAAATCTGACATCATTTGGTTTATGCTTTTGTGTAGTATTTTAATACATTTGTATTTTACTTAATTCATTATAATTATTATAAATTTAAAAATATTAAAAAATTAATATAATTTTTAAAACATAATTATATAACCATTTTTTGGGGGTAAAAGTTTTTTTCATAGATGAAAATCATTAAACGTCTAAAATAGAAGTCGTTTGGCTCTAAATCGAAACATTAAAAATTAAAATATTAAAAAAAAAAAAAAAAAAATTATTTAGTTAAACATTAACAATTTTTTACTTAACAACAAGAGCTGCAGGGTAGCAAATTATAAAAGAATATTTTACATTATGCAGGTAATAGGATTCGGGTAATTACAGAGCAAATTTCCCCCATATCGAAAAGCAAAAATTATGCAGAAGAGAGAGCAGGGTAAATCAGGTGGTGCGTCGGGTGGCAACGCCGCGCCACCGTCGAAGAGAGGACGACCATTTGGAAGCACAGCTGCTAGCATAGCCTCCGCCTCCGCTTCTGATTCAGTGGCTCCGTTCACTCTCCTCGGCCCTTCCCTCCAAATTCACAACTCCTCTGGTAAATCCTACACTTAGAACTAAAATCAGAGTAAAAACAGTTTGTTCACTAATTTAATCATTTCTTTATTATTTAAAATTACTTTCTTGGTAATTTTATCTTAAAGTGGGGTGTTAAATTTGTTATTGCTACTGGAAGCAGAGCAGAACAATAGAAGGATGGTTCTAGCACTTCAAAGTGGTTTGAAGAGTGAGTTAACTTGGGCTCTGAACACTCTTACATTACTGTCTTTCAAAGAGAAAGATGATATGCGTAAAGATGCCTGTTTGGCCAAAATTCCCGGCTTGCTCGATGCTATTCTTCAAATTGTAGGTTTTCTCTAAGTCTTGATAAACTTCAATTTTGTGTTTTGATATAAACTGCTGCCTCTTTTGATAATATATACAACAATAAATTCTGTCTTTTATATGGTGATTATGATGTGGAGCAGATGGATGATTGGCGTGATATAGCACTGCCTAAGGAACTTAGAAAGAGACACAGGGCTAGAACATTGGGTGCAAATTCTGTTGTAACAGGATTTGGCAATGAGTATGAGGCATTGGGATCGAATACCTTGCTGCCGCAGTTGGGGTAGGCTTGAGCATCGTTTTTGTTGTCTTGCTGGTTTTATGGAGGTGGAAATAAAATTGGACTGTTTTTTATGCTATGACAGGTTGGGGTCAGGTTCTTCTGCTGCTGAAACATACGGCCAAAAGAATACAACTAAACGATGTCGTTCGGAGTGGTGGCTTGACGAAGATGGTTTATTTAATCTAGATGATGAGGGTCGAGCTGAAAAACAGCAGTGTGCTGTTGCTGCATCTAATATTATACGCAACTTTTCTTTCATGCCAGAGAACGAAATTGCCATGGCTCAGCATCGGCATTGCTTGGAAACTGTTTTTCAGTGTATAGAAGATCACATCATAGGTGAGACAACCATTCCCTTTTCTCTTTCGTCGTGGATAGTTTAGTGTATCATTTATAATATACACTTTTGTAGATTCTATGGTAGGGTTCAAGAATTTTAATTATTGCATTTCTTGAATATTCTTGAAATGTTTGCTATTGAGTTTACTATGTGTGGCAAAGGTGATTCATCAGTAGTAGAGTAATGGGAATTCTTGTGATCTATTCCTTCTATTGAAAATATTTTCATTTTTCTTGTTTTTGTTTCCCTTTTATGCTTCGACAAAATAGTCTGCCTTTCTTGTGTGCGTAATGGTGTTTTTCTTCTATTATCTTATTGCAAAAGTTACCTTAACCCTTAACTCTTTCAATCCGTCTTCTTGTGCATTCTTAAAAGTTATTTTCTTGACAGAGGATGAGGAACTTGTCACAAATGCCATCGAGACAATTGTAAATTTGGCCCCCTTGCTTGACCTTCGGATTTTTAGTTCACCGAAGCCATCTCACATTAAAATGACGTGAGAATCCTGATCTACTTTCTTGCTCGAGTGTGTGTGATTTTTTTAATTTCTAGCTTCTGGTCAATGATTACATCCACTGTTTACCAAACAGCGAAAAACGTGCAGTTCAAGCTATAATGGAGATGCTAAGATCTCCAATCAAAGCCTGGCATGTGCGGCTGCAGAATTTCTTGGGCGCATGATTATAAATCCTGATAATGAACCTCTCCTCCCTTTTGTTCCTCAGGTAAAGCATTCTGCTTGAATATTTTCCCAATGAAATGTCTTATCATGTTATAAATAATTATACAAACTCGATGATCATTGCAGATGTACAAGCGATTAGTAGATATTCTGAGCTTGCAAGCATTTGATGCACAAGCTGCTGCAGTTGGTGCACTCTATAACCTTGTCGATGTCAACATGGACTGCAGGTTGAAGCTAGCTAGTGAGAGATGGTAAGTTCTGTTTTTAATAGTTGGTGGTGTAGTGATGATGACTGATAATTCATAGTCATGTTATCGTTGAAGTTTACAGCTGAAAGGGCGTATCTTATTTTGTACAATGTTCACCTAATTTAGGGCGTTGATCGTATACTGAAAGTAATCAAGATACCGCATCCAGTGCCAGAAGTCTGCCGGAAAGCTGCAATGATAATAGAGCACCTTGCGTCTGATCCTCAGAACCGGGTGTCGCTGCTAGCTTATGAAAATTCTTTTACAGAGATACTGTTTTCAGATGGTAGACATTCTGATACCTTTGCAAGGATTTTGTTTGAACTGACTTCGAAACCAAACAACAAAATTGCAGCAGCACGTGGAATTTGGGGCATGTATCTAAAGACCATACACTTCTGATGTTTTATCTGAGCATGCCCCTTAGCTGACTGGTATGAATTGTCTGTATTAAGATTTCACCTAATCATTTTTTATGTCGCTTGTAATTATGTATCGACCCCGTAATCGGGTGATGTGTTAGAAGTTTTAAACCTACTGAAAACCTTGTTTTCTATACAATATTCTCATGCAATGCACTTGAAGACTTGTTTTCTATAAATATAATAATTTAAACTTGGTTATGATATGAAAAAGTACACAAAAACTACAATAATTATCCTATCCACCACCTGAACTTTTCTAAGAGATTAAAAAATTATATCCCAATCTAATATTAAAAATTAAATTAATTTAAAAAGTGCACTTATATACAATAATAATCCCCTATATAATTCAATTAGATTTCACCTCAATATCTACTCTCTCCTTAGAAACAGTTGCAGAGGCATCCCGAGGAAGGAGGCCAAGCAGCGGCAAAGGCAACAACGAACTGAGATTGCATAGGATAATCAAGGTGGCTAAGTTGTCAAAATTATCTTTGGTTACACCGAATACCTGGGTCAGTCCTGCACCTAACAGTCCCCCCACCACACCGCCTCCGTTTGATATGGACATCAGAGTTGCAAATAGTGTTGCTTCCATCCCTTCCGGACATAGCTTGGCTGCAAGTACAAGAACCGGCATGAAAGAAGCCTGCAACAATATCGACGTACATAGAACATCAGCAGCAGACTTGAAATCAAATAAACTAAGTCATCGAGTAGTTTTACTTTTACACTTTGTTAGCGAATTTGGCTGTGCAAATATGAATGTAAATGAACAGAACGTTTAATAAATTGATCGAAAATCATTCGTATAACGTTCGTTTATTAAGATAAAATAAGTATGAACAAAATTGTTATGTTCATTTCATAAATGAACGAACATGAATAAAGATGTGTTAAGTTAGTTTATGTTCACGAACAAACTCGTCTATTAACTCGTTTACCTAATACTCCTTTTCTTTCCCTTTTTCACAGTTTTAAATGTTGATGAAGGTAGGGAATAAAATGAACACATAGTGAATTATGGAGCTTAAATGTGAAACCTAAGGAGCTTAAGGGCTAGTGGCATAATTTCATCATTTTCTGGACATAAAAATGAACATGTTGAGGAATGCTGAAATACATGCATGCAAACGCTGAACAAACCAAAACAATATTAAAATTTAAACAAACATGAACCGAACATAAACACATTAAAAAATAAACAAACGAATATGAAGACAAACTTATTCGTTCAAGCCCAATTCATTTACCACCCTAGCTGCAACTACA